CTCACGACTCCAGTTCCAGGGAACCTGACACCCTCACACAGACATATGTGCACGAAAAATACCAATGCACATAAAATAAAAATAAATTAAATTTTAAAAATCATATTTAAAAAAATAAGAAACTAGGAGAAACTAGAAAGATGGCAGAAAAATTAGAATAGAGGCAGAAGAAGAATAAAGAGGCTGATTTGGAAAAGCTTGTGTGAGAGAGAGTTTGTTTGTTCGCCCTCAGATAGCCAGAGAAAAAAGTCCCTTTTGCTTGCTGTTGTATCCGATGTGAACCATGTGCTTTTATCTATCCTGATAATCTCCCTTTGAAAAGTTTTCCCCAGGAAGGGTTGTATTGTGTAGCTCATATTGGCCTCAAACTTGTGACCTTCCTGCCTTGGTCACCTGAGTTTGGGAGATACATATACTGCCATGTTTCGCTCAGCCTCTTTTATTTCTTATGTGTTTGCGTGTTTTGCCTGCATCTAGGTGCTAGGAATTGAACCTGAGTTCTCTGGAAGAGCAGCCAGGGCTGCTCCTGAATTCTGTCTTTTGACTGGAAAACTTGGAGAGTTTGATACCCTTTCCCCGCAGTGGCTACCTATTCCCACCCAGTGAACTATACCCCAGCCCTCCAGTTACAGTTAAAGTACATTTGACCCTTTAACAACATAAGTTTAAATTATATAAATCCACTTAAACACACATTTTTTTCCAAGATTTTCTGCAATTTTCTGGATATGGTAGCACATGCCTGTACTGCCAGTACTTGGAAGGCTGAGGCAGGAGGATCAGAGTTTGAGCCTAGGCTACATGATGAGACTCTGTCACAAACAAACAAAATAAGTAAATAAATAGAGACAATTTGAAAAAGGAGAAGCTTTGAAGGGGTGATTTACTTCTCTGTGGCTGTGATAAAATGCCACATACACAAGGGAACTTATAGGAGAAACCTCCCCCAAACAGCACCAGCAGCTGGGAACTAAGTACCCAGATACGTGAGTGTCTGGGGAGAATTTCTCAATCAAATATATACTTGACCCCCACTGGCTCATGGCCATGCCAGAATGCAAAATGCATTTAGCCTGACTTCAAAAGTCCCCATAATCTTTCATAATCTCTTAGTTTAAAAGTCCAAAATCAGAGCCAGGTACAAGCCTTCATCCCAACACTTGAGAGGCAGAGGCAGGCAGATTCCTGTGAGTTCGCAGCCACCCTGGTCTACATAGTGAGCTCCAGAACAGTCAGGACTACACAGAAAGACAACAACAACAACATCAAAAGAAGTCCAAAGTCTCTTCTGAGATTCAAGGCAATCTCTTAATTGTAACACCTGTAAAATATAAAAGGCAATTATGGGCTGGCGAGATGGCTCAGTATTTAAGAGCACTGACTACTCTTCCAGAGGTCTTGAGTTCAATTCCCAGCAACCACATGGTAGTTCACAACCATCTATAATAGGATCCAACACACTCTTCTGGCATGCAGGTATATATGCAAAGCACTCATACATAGAATATAAATAAATAATTAAAAATAGCCCTTGGGAGGCAGAGTCAGGAGGATCTCTGTGAGTTCAGGGTCAGCCTGGTCTAAAGAATGAGTTCCAGGACAGCAGAGGTGTTACACAGAGAAACCCTGTCTCAAAAAATGAAAAAAGAAATGTCAGGTGATGGTCGTGCATACCTTTAATCCTAGCACTTGGGAGGCAGAGGCAGATGGATCTTTTGTGAGTTTGAGGCCAGCCTGGTCTACAGAGTGAGTTCCAGGACAGCCAGGACTACATAGAAAAACCCTGTCTTTAAAAAAAAAAAAAGCAAATTACATACTTCCGACATGCAATGGCATAAAACATGCATTACCATTCCAAAAGGGCTGAAAGTGTAAAAAACTGAGGCCATGACCGTACTGAGGTATATTTGAGGGAAAGGTTTTTGTTGTAGATATTAGGGAGAGTACAGCCGGAGGCAGGCATCTGGGAGTGTCCAGAGCAGGGAGAGAAAGCCATACACTGAACATGGCCTACAGAGTGAGCCAGGCCATTAGAGAAGAGAGACACAGGGAGAGCAAGAGAGGGGGAAGAGAGAGGAGGAAGAGAGCACATTGCTGGAATGGCACGGTTATATAGAGATGAGAAACTGGGGGGAGGGAAGCCTAGGAGCTGGAGACGTTTTGAGTGGGAGGCAAAGTGAGAAGAACCAAGATGCCAGCATGGACTCTGAGACGCTGAGAGAGCCTAGAGGCCGGCATGTACTTTGGTATGCTAATAGGTACCTGAGGAACCAAAAAGATGTTTCTGGGCTAAAAGTCTGAACACACTTCCCTTTGTCCAGAGGGCTGGATGTATATACACTAGACGGAGATGTTTTCAGCATGACAAGAAGCCCTTTGTTTTGTTTTCGAGACAGGGTTTCTCTGTGTAGTCCCAGCTGTAGACCCTCACTTTGTAAACCAGGCTGACCTTAAACTCAGAGATCCACCTGCCTCTGCCTCCTGGGATTAAAGGCCTGTGCTACTGTGCCTGGCTCTTTTTTTGTTTTTAAGAGAAGCTTTTTTTTAAATGAGCATTGGTGTGTAGGTGGAAGTTTCTATCCTGTCCTCCAGCTCCCAAATAACCAGCATGGAGACTTAATGTTACTTATTAATGCTCAGCCGATAGCTCAGGCTTGTTACTAGCTAACTCTTACATTTTAAATTAACCTGTATTTCTTATTAACACTCTGCCATGTGGCGGTACCTTCTTTCAGTACCACATGATCATCTCCTGCTCCCTCTGTGTCTGGCTGCTGACTCCAGACTCCTCCCTTCTTCCTCCCAGCATTCTCCTAGTCTGGCTCTCCTGCCCATTCTCTTCCTGCCCAGTTATTGGCCAGTCAGCTTCTTTATTTAAACCAATCACAGTGATGTATATTCCTACAGTGTAAAGGAATATTTTTTGCCTGTGTGTATGTCTGTGTAAGGGCTCTGGATCCTCTGGAACTGGAGTTACAGACATCTGTGGGCTGCCGTGTGGATGCTGAGAACTGAACCCAGGTCTTCTGGAAGAGCAGCCAGTGCTCTTAACCACTGAGCTCCTTGGAGAAGCACTCTTGAGGCTACAGTCAAAAACAACCACAGGGAATTTTAAATTTTGAGCTTGTGACTGTGATAATACTAGCACTTCACCAGAGCTAGATTAGTAGCTTATCAGAACTCCACTGATTAATGTTAAAACGGTGAACTTTTGAAGTCTTAATATAACCATAGCATGGGAGGGAGAGAAACCCGAAAGATTTCTCATTTTTCACAAACCTTAAATCTCTTCCTCCAACCTTCATAGCTTACATTCACAGCCCTTGAGCCGCTCTTGGACCCTCACAACCTACTTAAGCTTTCCCATCCTCAGGCCTCTACAGGTTGCGGTTGCACACTTTAAATTCTTTCTCAGACCATCACAACGTACGTAAACCTCAACCCTTTTCTTTTTCGGTCCAGTCATTTACCACGAAACAAAAATGGTTGATTACTGAGAGCAGTCATTACAAAGTAAGCTCCTTTAAGTAAAGGAATTGGGTAAAAAGTTACATTGAAACCTGTTTTGTGAGTTTATCTCTTTGCCTGTGAAGTCAGCCAGCAAGGTAAACTGTGAGTCTGACTTTTACCTATGAAGTGGACTGACCAGGCAGCCGCACCCTTGGGAGGCAGAGAGCTGGGTGCTTGCTGTTGTCAGAATGATAAAGCTACAGTTAGCCATCAGCTTCATCCAAGACCTGAGAAGGATAAATTAGAGCAAGAACTATAATCCAAATGGTCTCTGTAACAGTTAAAATGCAGAGACTTAGCTGCTACCTGGGCGGTTACTCTAGGTTCCCTCATGGTAATCTCAATGTTTCACTGGAGACAGCTTGTCAGTCTTTGGCTGTCACACTTAGCGGCATCAGCCTTGGGTCACGAGACCCAGAAGGTATGAGAGATTTTCTTGTGGACGAGGAACTTGGGAAAACTGACCTACCTTGGCAAAGCCTATAGTCAACCCAACAGTGAGAACAGTTTGGGCGGGGCCTTGGCAGTTTCTTCCCCAGTGGTTCCTATTAACACATTCCAGGTGGAGTAGTCTCTGCCCCACCGTCTTCTCTGGAGACTTTAGGGTTGCCACTAGGTGCTGGTGTTTCTGCTATCATGGGAAGCTTTTTACTAAACACTTTAAATACCACATTCAGCAGCGCTCTGGGGTTTTTAAGGGGCATCTATTAAATATACCTCATTTTAAACACACTTGACTTGTTTTTAGTTACTTGCTCTAGGCTTAACCTTGAAAAGATATACAGGTGGCTAAATAATGCTTGTCCTTGTAAATGAATTACATTTATCCCAGCATGACTGTGCACATAGTTCTGAGCACATTAAAGAGTCTGATATTATGAAGTGCCTGACCATTTACTTGTATGTCTTGATTATATTTAACAGTTTACAACAGGTTAGTTGCTTTTGGGGGGAGGCGATTTGAGACAGGGTTTCTCTGTGTACCCCTGACTCTCCTGGAACTTACACTGTAAACCAGGCTGGCCTCAAACTCAGAAATCTGCCTGCTTCTGCCTCCTGAGTGCTTGGATTAAAGGTGTGCGCCACCATCGCCCGGTTAGATTTTTGTTGTTAGTTTCAAAATATACCTGATGAATCTACAAACCTGAAATAAAAGCCAGGCAACAGTGGTGTCTGCCTTTAATCCCAGCACTTGGGAGACAGAGTCAGGCAGATCTCTGTGAGGTTGAGGCTAGACTGTTCTACAGAGTGAGTTCCAGAACAGCTGAGCCAGAGCTACACAGAAAAACCCTGTCTGGGGGGGGGGGGGAGAAAGAGAGAAAGAGAGAGAGAGAGAGAGAGAGAGAGAGAGAGAGGAAATGATAAATGATAGAAAGGATGTTAAATAAAGTGGAACCCTCATCCATTCCTAGCAAGAGCCCCAACTAGTGCAGCCACTGAGCTGAAACTAGAATGGACCCACCCTCTGTCCAGCCACACCCCTGCGTCCTGCCACAGCGACACTTGCACGTCCATGTTCACTGCTGCTCCATGGCTCCCAGCAGCTGGAAATGGACTCATTCTAGAGGATCATCGGGTGATGAACAGATAATGAAAATGTGACCCAGATACACAGTGGAATCTGTAAGAAAATGGATAGAATTGGGAAATATTACATTAAGTGAGCTAACCCAGGTTCAGAAACAAGCATAATCTCTTCTGCCTTTTCATTAACTTTGTTTAAAGATTTACTTATGTGTTCATATGTGCTTTCCCTTCATGTGTATCTGTGCACCACATGGTGCCTGTAGAAGTCAAAAGAGGGCATCACATCTCCTGGAACTGGAGTTACAGATGGTTGTGGGCCACCATGTGGGTGCTCAGAACCAAATCTGTATCCTCTGTAAAAGTAGCCAGTGCTCTTAACTGCAGAGCCATCCCTAGAGTCCCTGCCTTCTAGTTTTAATATATGCATATTTATGTGGAAATGACTGTAATTAATGCCAAGAAACTCGAAAGGGGCCCATGAGAGTGAAAAAAGACACTTTAGGTTATGGGGAGGAGAGTAATAAATCACATGAGATATGAAAGTAAAAGGGGAATACTTAAATGACAAGAAGAAGGAGCCAAAACTGAGGCTGTATGGCAAAGCCACAAGGAAACCAGTACTTGGTAATCTAATTGAAAACTGGCATTTCCTTTTTGTAAGAGTTTGAATGGTGGTCCCCGAGTGGTTAAAGCTGACTCCAGGAGCTATAGATTTGTAAGTGAAAATTCCAGTGCCTGGAGTGGGGCACCACCCGATGATGTGTAGGTCAGGGAGATTCCTGAGGCTCCCACAACAATGCAGGCAAACGCCGCTGCAGTTGGCTGCCCACTGGAAATATATGGTAAGAACCTGTTGCTGAAGACACCATATTTTCTCTAAGGACAGAGAAGTCCAGCTGGAACCAAGCTGGAAGCTCTCTCCTCACTGGCTTGTCCTTTTATGCTGGAAGGTGCTGTGCAGGCTGCTGGGGAAGATTGTCACCAATGGTCTAACACAGCTGTGACCTTAACTGTGACACGGCCGATTCTCCAGGCACGGTGTGTCCGTTGGTGCAGCAGAGGCAAGTCTGCTGTGGGGTAGCCAACTGCTTTCTGGCTGGGTTTGAGGCCTGCTCCAGTGGAGGGAGCACAGCTAGCACTATATACCTGGTTAATGCCGTGGCTGGTGAGGTCATGGACCCTCGTGGGGAAGACACTGCTGTTGTTTGGGAAATGGGTGTGATGTGACTAATTATGTTTGCGCATAGATGAGCGCTGTTGTCAGCTTCAGTTAGTATCTGAGTCACAGTTTGTTGCTATTAAGAGACATGGCCAAAGCAATTCATCTATATAGCATTTCATCGAGGGCTGACTTACAGTTTCAGAGGGTTAGTACAGTATCATCATAGTGGGAAGCATTGCAATCTGCTGGCAGACATGGGGCTGGAGAAGTAGTACATCCTGATTCACAGGCTGAGAGACACTGGGTCTGGCATGGGCTTTTAAAACCTCAAAGCCCACCTCCAGTGACACACTTCCTCTGACAAGGACACCTCCTAATCCTTCTAATCCTTTCAAACAGTTCCACTTGCTGGTGACGAAGTATCGAAATATAGGAGCCTATTGGGCCCATTCTTATTCAAACCACCACAGTTAGAAAAGGTTTTGTTGCTGTTTTGCAGTGGGCAGCACTAACAGCAGAGACTCATAACTGGTCAAAGTGCTGAGAAAGTGGCTGTTCAATGCTCAGCCGTAAGTATCTTTGTCAGCCTCTGCAAGGCTCAGGACACGTCAGAGAAGAGAGGGCAGGAAGAACGTAAGCCCATGAGATGGTGGAATGTTCTGGAATGCTATGTTTTCTCATGAACTATTTTTGTGTGTGTGAATTTTAATTTTAATTCTCATATAAACTGGTAGTTGCATTTATTGCCTTGTACATGTCTTTTACTTATTTCATTCTTTCCTGAAGGCATGAGTCTAATTGTCATAATTCCCTTCTCTTTGAACAATGCCTTTTGTATACAGAAGCGCACATGTGCTACTGCTGTTTATTTTGCTTTTTAATAAATTTATTGATTCTTTGAATATATTTTCCCCCTTAGCAATTTTCTCTAGCTCAGTGGTTTTGGGTCCTTGCTTACTTTTGTATTTGCCATTCTTGAGATTCAAAATGCATTTCAATGCTGTGACTTGATGACTTTTGTTAGCTTTCAAAACTCTCTTCCAACCAAACAAAACACCTTTAATCTCAGCACTCAGGAGTCAGAGACTGTCTGATCTCTGTGAGTTCAAGGCCTAAAAATTGAGTTCCAGGACACCTAGGGCTGTTATACAGAGAAATTGTGTCTCAAGAAACTGTTTTCAACATTGATAATCTATATGTTGTTTCAGTTATACCCACATTAGCCATTTTCTTTGTCTTTTTCCAAATATTTTATTTTGTTTTGTTTTTGTTTGTTTGATTTTTCAAGACAGGGTTTCTCTGTAGTTTTGGTGCCTGTCCTAGAACTAGCTCTTGCAGACCAGGTTGGCCTCAACCTCACAGAGATCTGCCTGCCTCTGCCTCCTGAGTGCTGGGATTAAAGGCGCGTGCCACCACTGCCTGGCTCCAAATATTTTATTTATATTCTATTCTAGTACTAGTTCTACCTTTAGCTCTTTTTATTATGATGTTACAGTTAACACTTAATTGAGTTCTTAATTTGATTCTTTTTTTTTTTTTTTGGTTTTTCGAGACAGGGTTTCTCTGTGGTTTTGGAGCCTGTCCTGGAACTAGCTCTTGTAGACCAGGCTGGTCTCGAACTCACAGAGATCTGCCTGCCTCTGCCTCCCAAGTGCTGGGATTAAAGGCGTGCGCCACCATCGCCTGGCCGATTTTTTTTTTTTGAGGTAGGTTCTCACTGCGTACTTCTGGCTGGACTGGAACTCTTCGTGTAGACCAGGCTGACCTTGAACTCAGAGATCCACCTGCCTAAATCTGGTCTCCAAATGCTGGGATCAAAGGCATGCACCACCATACCTAGCCCCAGCTGAGTTCTATTGTTGTTCTTTCCAGAGGGTCTCTTGGTGTAACTCAGGCTGTCCTGGAACTCACAGAGATACCCTACCCCTGTCTCTCAAGAAATGGGAGTAAAGGCTTGTGCCATCATGCCCAGCCCCAGTTGAGCTCTGAGCTTGAGTTTTGTTTGTTTACACTCTACAGTTTATAACTGGGTCCAGTTCTCTGATAAAAGTGTTCAGTCTTACCTTTAACTTTTAGTTCCCCAAACATCTTTATGTTCTTAACATCATTAGCCTTTTCTCCCAACACTCTCATTGTTCCTGATTTTTTAGTATTTCGAGACAGGGTTTCTCTGTGCAGCCCTGGCTGTCCTGGAGCTCACTCTGTAGACCAGGCTGGCCTGGAACTCAGGGATCTGTCTGCTTCTGCCTCCCAAGTGCTAGGACTAAAAGCATGTGCACCACTGCCTGCCTGTCGTTTTGTTCTCAGTCATATCTTCTTTCTCCAGTTGCCTATTTCAGAAGTCCTTTGCATCCCCAATGAAACATTTAGAAGAATGTTAAATATGAAACCCTGTCTCAAAAAACAACAACAACAACAAACAATAAAAAAAGAAAAGAGAAAAAGAAAGAAAAGAAAAAAGAAAGAAAACAAAATAAAATAGGGCCCAGATGTAAAACAGTATAGGGTGCTTGCTAATTATACCCACCAAAGATTGAATCCAAAGATTCATTTCCCGGACCAGGAGAAGATGTTGCATTCAGCCACGAGATTGTAGATCGGACTTGAGGATCTGAGTTTAATCCCCAAAAGCCACGTAGTTCCAGCCCCGGAGAGGCAGAGGCAGGAGGGTCCCTGGGATCACGGCCAGTCAGCCACGTGTACCTGCACACACAAGATTAATTTCTGACCTTTGTTTTTATCTGGGGAAATGGTTGAGAAGGGCTCTCACTGCGTTGTCCAGGTTAGTCTCCACCCCCTTGAATCAAGTGACCTCCCTACCCCCTGGAGTACCTGGACCTGCAGGTGTGTGCCACAGGGTCGGCTCCATCTGCTGCACCCTGTTTATCTCCTTCCTGGTTCCTGCTGTATGCGGTTCCTCAACTGCATCACCTGGGACCGCCCCTCCTGCGTCACCTGGGACCGCCCCTCTCGGCGTCACCTGGGACCGCCCTCTCTGCAGAGCCACGCTACACTGCCCACTCTTCCTGCTCCTGAATTTCTTCATGTCTGTCCATCTGAGTCTTGTTTTCTGTTTCTTTCTTTATGCACTCTGACTCATCTTTCAGTTGTCCTGGCGGTCTACACAGTCTGTCTTGGAGTCCCAGTTAGATAAGATTTTCATCTCTCTTTTGTGGATAAATACTCTGGACACCTCACTTGCGGCTTGTATTCTTCTAGCTCTTCAACTTCCAGCTAAATGCTGCTGATTTCCCTGCTGCCCCCACCCCGACAGAGAGACCCTGTGGGGTGGAGGAGTGCCCATAGGTTACTCACTGGTGATCAGACAGTCACAAGAGGGTCTGCGTGGTGTTCTTCCAGTCCCCTGCTCCCGGAAGCCACTGTGCCAGGACAGCATGTTAGACCTCTGCAAGATGGCCAGAATGTGTGCGCGGCTGTGCCCAAGTTCTAGACTCATACCCTCTGTGAGTGTCATGGACTGTGGTCTGAGACCACTCCCCTTTTGGGGCAGTTTATACTTAACGTACAAGCTTTGAGGATGTGTTGGGCCTCTGGCTCTGGTGGGTGAACCCTGAGGACCAGGGGCAGTTTTTCTGTCCTTTCCTCGGGCTTCCTACAACTTCTCTCAGTCGGCATCTTTCCAGCTGCAGATTTCTAGCGATTTTCTGGCCCCGGGCATGTGGACTTTCTGCTCAAGCCTGGCGCACTCTCCTTCCCTGGTTCTTCTGAGGGAGCATCATTCTGACTCAGCTAGTGAGGAATTTTTGTCACTGTTGAGACACTGTCTACCACTTAGCCCTGGCTGGTTTCACACTAATGGACTCCGTGGTCCTCCTGAGTGTTGGGAGATAGGCATGATCGCCGCATCCGGCCTTCATGCTTTCTGAGAACCATCCGGGTCCTCTGTATAACCCAAGCAACTGCATAGATGGTGGCTAGGAAGGAAGACTGGGGTTCAAATCTCAACTCTCTTCACGCCAGCCCCAACCGCCGAGGACAAAGCCGCCGTTGTCATCCAGTGTGCCTTCCGGCAACATCTCGCTCGAAAGGAGCTGGCTCGCCGTCGGCAGGAGCGCCAGGAGTACCTGGATGAAATGGAGAAGCTACAGAGAGAGGTGAGTAGGGTTCAGCCACAAGACCCTGGGTGCCAGGACCAGCGGAAGAGGGAAGGTCTGAAGACTGTAAAGGGAATCATGACCTTGGGGTTTAGACAGGGACCTCAGGTTGTGGACATGATGTCTGGATTGCACAGTGACCACGAGCTGCGTGGGCGCTGGGGACGGTGACCACGGGCCGTGTCTTGCAGGCCTACCTGGCCTTAGTGCGCCGGGAGCAGGAGGCGGCTCGGCGGCAGCGCGAGCAGGAAGAGGCGGCGGAGCGCGCCCGGCGGGAGGAGCTGCAGCGCCGCCGCCGCCTGCTGGAGGCTGCCTTCGAAGGGGACCTGGGCGAGATCCGTGCGGTGCTTAAAGAGGTCCGTGTGGCAGCAGCGGGTGGGCGGGAGCGAGTGGGCGTCAAGGTGACACTGCCCTGCGCCCAGGTGGATCAGCTCCTGACGCGCGAAGGCGTGGGCCACGACGAGGCGGGCAAGGCTCGGCGGCTGCAGAGGCGCGTGGCCACTGTGGAGTGCGAGGACAGCCACGGGAACACGCCTCTGTCCGAGGCGGCGGCGGGCGGGCAGCCCTTGGCCATCCAGCTGCTGGCGGAGCTGGGTGCCAGCCCCAACAGCAAGGTGGGCGCGGTGCGCGCGGCGGCGGCGTGGCCTGGTTCCCGCACGCGCTCAGGGAGCCCCTTCCGCAGGGCGCCTTCGGCCGCACGCCGCTCTACCGGGCAGCCTTTGGGGGCCACCTGGAAGCCGTGGAGGTGCTTCTGAAGCTCGGAGCAGACCCCCGGGTGTACGCCGATGATGGGAGCACTCCGGAGCAGGTGTGGCCCTGGCATGCACTTCCCTACTCCAAAGGTTTCCGATGTGGTGGCACACATCTGTAATACCAGGACTGGGCAAGAACATTGACCCTGTCTCATAAGGAATAGATGTGTGTATATATGTGAATACACACCACACACACACACACACACACACACACATTCCTTACGAGACAGGGTCATACTCTCTCTCTCTAGATAGATACATAGATATAGATATATAGATAGATAGATATAGATAGATATGACTATATATCTCATAAGGAATATGTGTGTGTGTGTGTGTGTGTGTGTGTGTGTGTGTGTGTATCGATCGATAGGATACAGGGATTCCTAGGTTTTGTATTTGGTTCCATCCCACCAACCAAACACCTGCGAGTTTCTGAACAGTGATTGGTTGTTGTCTGCCAGGGGACGCCTTCTGTGTGGTTGTCCTAGCTCCTTCAGCGCTCTGGCCACCAAAGGATACAGCTGCTGTGGTCGATTAGGCTCTCTGGCCTTGGAGGTTGGCAAGGTATCACAGGTGCTCTCAGTCTATTCCTGTTTCTTCCCCCTTGGTGGAACTGCCTCCCATCAGGAGGGAGTGCTGTCTTCCTCATGCTGACCTCTGGAACATGTGAGTCCAGGAGGTCGCTGATGAGGCTCACTCAGCAATGGGGGAACTCTGAGAAACCAGCTTAGGAAGTGCCTCTACCTGCTATTTGTTTGTATACACACACACACACACACACACACACACACACACACGTTGACCAGGAACAATCCTGATCCTTCTGCCTTAGCCACTACAGTTCTGGGGTTACAGGTGCTGGGTACCACACCTGACCTTACCTTTATTTCCTTTGAGTCACCTGAATTTAAAGTTAGTTACCCTATATCTCACCTCTAAAGCTGACGGTGCTGCCAGAAATGGTGGTATGGGTGTCAGGCCTTTTGGCAAGCACTTGCTTCTGTGCCCCTTGAAGGGATATCAGATTCTTTGCCCAGCCTGGGACCCCAGCTTCAGGCGCCGCTTCCTGGGGACACTTCTCTGGGCTTAGCCTAAGCTCCTGGGCTAGCAGGTAAAGTTACAGTATAGCTGGAGTCTGGGAGCTCAGAGTGCCCAAGAGCCGGTGCCTGGAGGCCATAGAGGGCCGGAGGACTGTGGGCACCGCTGTGGGGCTGGTAATTGGGGAGCTGTGGTGACAGGGAGGTGTCTGAATCTTAGCTGTCAGGAAGAGCACTCATCTCAACCCCAGGTACTAGAGCCACTGACAGCCCACAAGCCAAGAAATGAGTTCTGCCCTGAGTCTCACACCAGACACAATTATAACTCAGCAGATCTGAGTTCCAGCATTAACAGGGAACCTCTAGGCCTTAGACAGGGAAATAGCTCTGGGCCCTAGGACGTGTTGGAGAATTCTGAGCACACTGAGAAGCCAAAAGAAAGAAAAGCTGGCCTTCACCAAGACGAAAGCATAGTAACCTGGCAGGGGCGACACCATGATCACAAAGGCATTCTCAGGGTGAGGCTTTCCTATGTACTCCAGCTGTCCCGACCTGCGATGTGCCCAAGTGTGGGAAACCCGATGGCATAATCAGTGGTTGGGGACTGCATTCGCACTCTCCCCTGAGGACAAAGAGAAAGAAGAAAGGAAAGAAGGGAAGGGAAGTTTCCCTTCATAGGTCTCTGACAGGAAGCAATGGCCAGCAATGGGAGAGACTGGTCACAAATCATATACCTGACCAAGGACACCTCCCTGGGGAATATAAGCAAATTCCATCTCAACGACAAGCAAACATGCCGTCCAGCCATGACAGACAGGGAGAGGAGTGTCCCGGAAGAGGACATGGTGACTGCAGAGCCGCACAGAACAAGGGTGTCCCATGTCAGCATTCGCTGTGACAGCTGAAGTGGTGGAAGGCAAGGCCGAAGGCAAGGCTGGAGTCTCCTGCCGTGCAGCCAACATGAACACGGGCTCCTCCCTCTACGGACCCCAAAGATCTAAACACACTATGCTCCTCAGCAGTTATGTTTGGGCGTTTAGCCCGGCAGAGTGAGCCTGTGCTCACATAATAATGTCTACTGAAGCTTGCATGGTAATAGCCCCAAACTGGACACAGTCCAGATACAGATGTCCTTTCATGGTGAAAGCTGGTGTGGCCACAGTCTAGACCCCCTTTCAGCCACAGAGGATGAGGTAGAGACTGGCAGCAACTCCCACTCTCAAGGGAACTGTGAGAAAAAGCCCTTCCTGCAGTGCTAAGCAGACAATTCCATCTCAAACTGGCAAAATGATAAAGTGGAAGACAGATAGGTGGTTTTTACAGGAAGGAAAAGAGGAGGAGTGGACGTGGTGAGGGGGGAGGACAGCGGCACTCTAAGGTTGTGGGTACGGAAACTTGTTTGGTTTTCTTTTCTTTTTTTTTCTTTTTTTCTTTTTTTTTTTTTTGAGACAGGGTTTCTCTGTGTAGACTTGGCCATCCTGGAACTCACTCTGTAGACCAGGCTGTCCTTAAACTCACAGAGATCCACTTGCCTCTGCCTCCTGAGTGCTAGGGTTAAAGGTGTGCGCCACCACCGCCCGGCTCATCAGCTTGTTCTGTTTGCTGCACGCAGGCCTCAGTTACCTGCAGTGACCTGCCACATGCCGTACGCTTTGTCTTCCTTTCAGCTAGCTCAGTCTCTACCCTGCCACTTCATGAACTTATTAAACCACGGATCTGCTCACGTGACACCCAGTAGCTGACCACGTCATCCTCTTGTGCTCACTTGGTTTCCGTTGGTTATGGCTCTTCCACCCACACAGGTCAACCCGCACAGGTTCGTAAGCTGTTCCCACTCACCAGAAGTTCACAGCCCGGCTCTGTGGGACTAGAGATTAACATCACGTTCCTCACCAAAATCTTGGCACATAGTTCTCAATAACTATTCTTTCAGATAAGCACCCGTGGTTTATTTAAGATCTGAATTTGCT